CTCTTTATATTTACATTATAAATATTATTTTAAAATTTGTATATGTTATACAGTATTTTTTATAAGTTTAATATTTTCGTCTGAGAAATATAATTTTCTGCAACTGTAGCAATGCAAAATATTGGATCTTCTCGGGATACAATCTGAATATGTTATAATCAGTAAGGAATGATGTTACAGATACCTCAGTGTGCGGCCTTGTGTTATAAAAACATTAAAGTATTTTAAAAAGTACTTTATCCATCGATATTTTAATCTTTCTTAAAGCTTTACTAACGTGCTGTAATTCTAATATGGTTTCTAGTATCACCAACAAAAACAATGGCGGACAGAAACGAGTTTGTGATTTTTGAACCTAGAACAGTATTTTCTGTAATACAGCATGTGAGAGAAATTTTCTACATGCAGACTTCTCTTACTAAATGAGGACATTTCATGTTGTTTTCATCTGCGCTACGCCCATGAACTCAGTCAGGAAAGAAATTTTAATGGCATTAACAGCAAACATGTGGGTAAGTGGCCAGCATCACGCCCCGGCCGTGCTATACCCCCGGGAAAGGATCGCGGTACCATTTGAATAGGAGGCTGGGTGAGCCCCAGAGCCAGTCTCGACACAGAGGCTAAAGGAAATTTTCTCTGCCCCCGTCGGGAATCGAATCCCGGTCGTCTAGCCCGTAGCCAGTCAACGTATTGACTGATTCCCGCTACCACATCCAGGCTGACTCTAAGGCCAATCCCGGGAATGAAATAGATTTGACGTAAAGCTCATCCCCATATAGTGCACTTTATTCAACGAGTTACTTGACTAGACTGCTTCCTTAGTTCTATAAGCTTACCGTAATATTATGTTGTGTGCGCAATTTCACGTAATAATATTTTAAATTTAACCAATGTACATATTTTGGTGATATTTGTTATGAACACTATATGTCTTGGGTTTACCGTCATCAATTATGTGAACAGTGTCCAATAGAACTTCGGATTAGCGCGGGACATTACAGCCAATGAATATTCAGCCTTATAAGAAGCTTTTGTCTTGTGAAAATTACAATTTGTAATCAATAATAATGTAGAATGTAAGACAACAAAATGGTTGTCACGCGAAATGTACGTTTAGGGTTCGGTTTGACGTTGGTAGATATTGTAGTACCTTAAATTAGGTCACGATCGCCTCTTCCAATATCATTAGCAATTCGCTACCATTCTCTCATTCAACGACATATAGTATGACCTACTGAAAAAAATCCTTAAATAAACTACAAATATTTTGGACGTGCCTGTATTATATTAGTGATTATTTTCTATATTATCCAAAATATAATTTTATAAACCAACATTTTCGTCCATCAGAAATTTTACCATAGGCCTATTTATTTCCGCGTAAAACGTTTTTTATTTAGAATCACTAAATTCTTTGACTATGCCAGTCGTCTGTGTTTCTGGATAGAAAACTACGTTTCGGAAGCTAGATCTGCTTCCGTCTTCAGGTTAAAAAGTGGGGAGAGCGACCTACTCAGTTGGGTCCGATCGAAAGAGCTAACATCAATCACTGGATTGTATTTTTTATTAACATTTTTTGAGCGTGTAATACAGATTGTTCATTTTAACACGCAATCCAAACTTCGGTACGGGTTAAAATGTTTGAAGCAACATTTCGGCTTCATGCTGTCTCCGGAGAGTAATCTCGCGTTCCACTTACGTTCTGGTTCAGTGTTTCAAAAGCTCTGGTAAATGTTTCCGTAATTGGTTCAAACCGAAGGTGGCTGTCTTCTGGGTTGTTGCGCCGCGTAATGTGGTAGAAATTTACCGAAATTTCAGAGATCTTTGCTGCCTCCACCACCAGGGCGACGAGGCCTCTGAAACGTCGGTAAACTTTTACCAGGCTACACGGCGCAACAACCCAGAAGACAGCCGTCTTTAAACTCGCCGTCGTGAAAACCAGAAATCCTACATGGTTCAAACCGGTTTGTAAAATGGAGGAAATATACATAGATAAGATTTCAGATAAATGTAACAAAAAATCTAGTGAGTTGGAGTTTTAAGGGGAAGCTGATTGTCGCTTAGAAGTCAGGAAATTTCTCGCTTTTCTGGAACGGAAGGTTCATTACTTTTTTACAACATCCCGCCATAAGTTGTAATTCTGAATCAATCCATTCCTCAACTCCTATCCGATATTCTTAAGATGCATTTCATGAAAACAGACTACAGTAAAACCTAATTAATTTGGTCTAATAGAGGAAACAGTAGTCGAATTAATGAAAAGCTCAAATTACAGAACATAATTATATGCAGATATTTTTCAAACCGAAGTTC